GGTGTTTGCTCAGACCCAGAATTCGGCTTCAAGTCCTGCAATTGCTCACAATATCTCCGGCTGATACCTTCTCAGCATAGATTTGTTGGCCATGTCTTGCTCAAGCGAATAGGGAGAAGTCCCAGTTTAAGGCCCAACCAGAAGCTTTGTAACCTTCCCCCATACGAGGCCATGTTCGTCGGGTGCCCCAGTATTTCCTTTCGGGACAGCGGCTGCCTTTTTTTTCCTGCCGAAAATTGCGATTGAGGGTCTACACCCTATGTATACCCATATTATCACATTTCTAAATCCACATCCCTACTTAGCGGCAAAAGGAACCTTACTGTTGAGATGTGGCATCTAGACTAGGAAGTTTCTGGGAGTAGAGTCATAGGTTCCCGCTTCCTCAGCACAAACATCCCCACTCCAGAGTCATCTCTTGCCAGCCTCCCCCAGAGCGATTGCCAAGATCAGCACCGTGCATTTTGGGTTCCCAGTATGACCCGGCTACGATGTTGGGTTTTCCTAGCTGTGAGATCGGCGGTTCAAGGAACTCCCACTTTTGAGCTCGCAGTGGAAGGGGTCCTGCCGGTTAAAAATATCTGCCTCAGCTGGCTCTAAAGACTACTGAGTTGAGGAACTTGCTGAGCTTGTTAGCGAGGGTTTGTTGAAGTCGTGTTCTTTCTGGCGGTCCTGAACATGGCCATAAAGCCTCGTAAGACAATTGCGTTTCGCTGTCCAAAGTAAAAACTACGCCCCCAGTGTGGCAAAATGGTTTGGAGGCCTTAAAGGACCGCAGCATTTTCTGTTCCCAACCTTTCGGGGCATAATAAGCATAGTAGCCCATGAGTTTGGATGACCTGTTGTTTATTTACGAAGATTGCGCTGGAAGGTTCAAGAAGGTTGCAAACGCGGCTTTTTGTCGGGTCTAACTGTAGCGATTGAGGAGTCCTAGCCATGCACCATGCTAACACATCCGCTGACATGTTTGCCCAAATTCTACACCTAGTCCTGAACACTAATCCCTAGAACATACCTCAAGCCGTCGCAGGCAGGTGCGGCAAGCAACAAACTGGCAGCGTTAAGATACAAGTGGGTGTTCATTAGCATGCCTGTCTTCCTTTTGATGTCTGGGTTCCAAGTTACCAACCCGCAAAATTGTAGACATTTCCCTCTGCATTTCTGAACGAAATCGAGAAAGGAGCATTAAACTGTTGTGAGACATACGTACCCCTTGCGAGTATGGGGAACAACGTGCCGACATTAGCTTAAGTAGAACACCCGGCGTGCTGGGAAGAGAGGAGCTTATGGCACCCTGGTCCCTCCACATTTAGGTCTTAGGCTTGAAGGCTTTTAGGCTTTTGGTTGGAATTTGAGGGCAGCCCTAACAGCCTCACACTCTCTAACCAGAGCTTTTCACGTGCCGAGGACACTCACGGCGAGGTTGTGGCCCAAGTCAGAGCCGAGGGTCTGAGTTTGAATTTGAATAAGGGGTGCAGGATTAAAGGGTGGAAGGGTTTAGGGGTTGAGGGATTTACTTGCCAGGAAGCACAGGCCCTCTTCAGATTGTCCTCCCTGGTAGAGACTACCTGCCACTGGCAAGGATTGGAGTTTGGGATAGTTTGAGAGGTAGACTTTTTCACCTAAGGCTCATGAGGCTTGTGTGGAGCAGCTGGTCTTTGGGCAGGATACCTGAAGCTTTTTTCCTTGCCTTGCAAAGATGACTTCAGGTTACGCAAGCTGGACGGGGAGCCTTTACTGCGGCCTTCCCGACTGATGAGAAACGCCGAGGGGTCAAGGCCTTGGCCTTCCGGGACTGCAAAGTTGTGCCAAGGTCAGGGGGCAAAACTTTGGGGTTCAGGAGGGTTGAGGGTTTGTTTCGTACAGGCAGGCAACCTTCTTGGCTCGGCTGAAGCAATCTTGGCTTGGGTTTGGGGATCAGGGTTCGGTGTATAGGGTGTAGCGCTCTGACTTGGCGGCTAGGTCTAAGGTTGAGGTTTGAAGGACCTCACTTCCGGCCAGGCTTCGATCTCTTTAGCTTATTCTCCGCACCGCCCTTCACCAGGATGCAGCAGCACCAAATCCTGTGTCAACAAAGCCCAAAAGCCCAAAGCAAGCTCTGAATCCCAAAGCCTCTGCTTTAATGGAGCTTTGCCTTGAGCCGTAGCCATACAAAGTACTGAATCCCTCATCCCACCACCGCCCAAGGTCTTCCGGCACTGCCAGAAGGATTGCCTCGAGCTCCTGACCTCAAACCTGCGCCATAGCGAGCAGTTAGGGCCTGAGTTGCCCTGACTTCATTTGTCAGGAGTTTAGATTTGGGGTCTCGGGTTGTGAGTTCACGGTTTGGCAGCAGATCAGATTGTGGGGAGCGTTCCAGGCTTTGTCAGAGGTTGTTTATTACCCGCGCGCTGCCAGTCATTTACATATTTGGACTTCCTGTAGTAAATTTGGTGGTAGCTTGAAAGCTTAAGTTGTTTAACTTAGGCATTGGAGAAGGCAGTTTTCGTGATTCCTTAGGGGGCACCCGAAACTTGTACGACCTCAGAAGGGCCGGACAGGATGTATAGATGAAGAGGATGGTGTGGCTCATGACAGGATCCAAAATTGCATTACCCAATCGGAGGCTTGCATTGCTACGGGGTAGATAGGTCATGACTCTGAGAAGGGGATACGGATTTCAACTTTTGGATGCTTTTTGGGTCTGGGTATGGCCCCGTTTACGTATAGAGTTGAACACTGGAATCCTAATGAATGGCGCACCCCCGATTTCCAATCGCAAGTCGTTGATATATCCCGCTTCTTGGCATCGAACTGTTTCAGGGTGGTGGCGCCGAAGAGTTTGGTTTGCAGGAAGTTGATCCTTGCGGGTTGGGATTGTGGGCTTCATGATGTACTGGGAAGACCCTCGGGCACCCATGGCCTCCCATTCCCAGAGGCATGCTAAGCCTTGCCGAGCCTCAAGTTGAACTGGGAGACCTCTGCCAGAACTTGTAAGAGGCGGCGGCAGCAAGCCCAGCGTTTTCTGTTTGGCTTCGGAGGAATCCTGCACCCTGAAGCCACTGACAACTCGCATTTGCCCCTCCCTGCTGCTTCCTTCCAAAACGGGGTTGATTCGGCTTTCAGAGATCTAAAGCCTAACCACGCTTTGTTCAAGGAGCCGAAGATTTTCAGCCCTACTCAGAGCGTTCCAAATAATCAAATGCCAAAGCCCCAAAGAACTGCTTGCATTGAAGCGCCGGGACGTACACTCTAGCCCTAGAATGGATTCAGGAAAAAACAATATTATCTCAAAACTCCTAAGTCCCCGGCCTAAGCTCTCTTCGAGTACATGCATCAAAAGTTGGGTCTCTACCCTGCAAAATGGACCCAGGCTCCAGACTGGTCTGAAGCTTTAGCCATGAGCGCGTAACGCAACCACCTACACCGTCAAGTCTGACACCATGCCCTAAGGCTTCCAAAGAGGCTGCATTTCGATGTTGTTAAGTCCAGGTCCCTTCACGACGAATTGGGGTTGCCAGCAACAGGAGACAAGGACAACCAGCTGCAGCGCCCAGAGCCCAGGGGTTGGAGATCAGATGGGTTAGTTAGGTGCTTAAGGGTTGGCATGTGGGTTGAGGGGTGCAGGGTTGGTCAGGTTGGGTTCTGGACATGGGGGATTCCTGTTGAGGGTTGAGGGATCAGAGCTTAATGATTATCAGAAAACTACGGCATCACAAAGCTTTGTAAGGAGGGAGTGCACAGGTGCTATGGGTACTTCAGGGTGTGATCATGGTTGAATCGAGATTCTGCGGAAATTTCTTTCGCCTAGACCAGGAGCGCAATGACCTTCTGAGTTGTATGGGCATAACATCTCAGGATTTCGTTGTGCTTTGCACATCTTCAGGGGTGTTGCATTGAGAAGTAGTACCTCCAAACGGAACCAGGGCTTTTGTACAGGGATTGGATCCACTTAGTAGGCATCATTTGGGTGTCCCAGATGCGGATTCTAAGAAATTCCATGGCGGATCTCCAGGTTTTTTGCTTGAGCTTGGGAAGAGGGATGCCGTTTAAACGGTTGCTTCGAACCGCAAGGCGCAAGAGATTGATGTCACATGGATCCTGTTGTTTGTCGGGTCTTTGTCCGATTTGGCAGCTGGCTCAGCAAGCCTGAGCACTACAAGCCTACAAGTTCGGAACCTAACCCAGCCGAAATCCAAAATGCTTGCCCCTGATCATAAGGCCACCTTAATCCGGAATGGTAAACATATACTCCGCATCGCCTCACTGCTCGACCTCCAGTGCTCTCACTGGCAAAAATTATCTGGGCTATCCTCTTGTCAGCACTTACATCTTTGGAAAACTGTCAACTTGAAACCCTCAAAGCTCAACTTTAAATGCCCTGCCCCAAGCACCAAAACGTGCCAAACAACTTTATACCCTGACCCTGACCCTGAGCCCGACAAGAGTTTGTGCCCCTCGACCGCCCCCTTGTTTTTGAACGCGATCCAGTTGATTCTGGACCTCTATTGGCCTATTCCTTTGACAGCCTCATGGGTTTATGAGCAGTCCACGTTTGCCTTCCATGGCGCAGCTGAGTGAGGAAGACCTCAGGGATTACGAGCTTCACCTGCACAGCAGACCTAGGGGGCCCATGGTTTTCAGGGTCGCAGGGGCTAAGAAGCTTAAGGGCTTCGAGGGGGCAGCATGAAGAGCCTTGAAATGCTGAAGCCTTGGACCTCAAGAGTGGGAGCATGTGTTGTCAGGAGCATTAAAGCAGAAGCGTTATCGCCGCCATTGATCTCTATCATATTTCATTGGGCAAGTAGTTGTGAAGCTGTGGACATGTTACATGCTTAGAACAGCGAAGACATGATTCCAAGCGCATTCAGCGTGGGAGTGAGAGGGCTTAGCGTCTTTAACACTTTGAGCTTGAACTTGTGACATCTTGAAGGTCTGTTGGATTCGTAGAGCTGAGGGCTCAGGAATCTTTGCCAACCCCAAGACCCCAGACTCGAGACAACTTCAGCACTGAACGCAAGGAGAGGGACGGTTGCCTTTTCCCAGTGAGGGGCCTCTTCTCGGATAGTCGGCTGGAGGAGGCTGCTCAACTGATCTGAAGACTATAGCCCCTTGCAAAACATGTGGCTTGTACACTAGTAGCACAATGTATATCGGAGTAAGTCGGGGAATGCCGGGGCTTGTTGTTCAGGAATTTGCAGTTTCGTCAAGTTTGCAAGCTTTAATGGTCAAAGCATTTGGCATTCGACTTGTCTACATGTCTCGTACGGGTAACCCAACCCTAAATCAGGATTGCTTGGATGTATGAGTAGGAGGCCAACTCATTTCCGTTGTCAGAACCCTTCAAAGTTAATCCAGACTCACAATACCCCAACTTTCAGAAAGCCATCCAAACTAGGTTTGAATGCCCGAACCCTACTCTGCAAACCCTGAGGACTGCATTGAACCCCACATCCAAGCTCCTAAATCCCTCTCATGAGACTCCAAGTCGCCGCTCTAGCTTACGAGCAGGTCCAAACAGGGTCCCCAAGAACCCTGGCGGAGATAATTGTTGTTGCTGCTAGCCGAAACCTGCAAATCCGAGCTAAGCTAAGGCGATTTCGAACCCTGGGGAAATGTACAAATTCAGGTCTTCAACAGGCATTTAAGAGAACCACTAAATCTTCATCAGGCTTGCTGGCAGACATTCTCATCTGAGTTCCTATGCATTGCGACCCTCGTCATTCTGACAGTTTTCCTCTAGCTTTCGCAAACATCACCGCCAACCTCAGCAGCATCATCACTATGATCTTGGCATGTTCTTGTATTACTCCTGCCTCGGGCTTTGCATCGCTGGCTGCTGCAGCTGTTTGCACTTGTGCTGGTAGTCCTCCTCCTGCTTCCTCCCTTTGCTGTACTTCCGCCCCTGCGTCTTCGTTTTGAGAATTCACAAGGTTGATGCACTCCTCTCGAAGCTGGTGGAGCTGCGACCACAGGCCGGACCGAAGACGGTTTTGGGTTCAGGGTTCGGCTTCTCAAAGATTAGGGACCAGGAAGAGTGGAACTTGGCTCTTCAGGAATTTCTAGGTATTGTATTGGGAGAAACTCCCAGTTGAATGTGTCTGCTTGGGGTTAAGGGCTGAGGGTTTGAGTAAGATTGCTTCCCCTCAACAAACTGGAGAGAAGCTCTACAGCAGAATATGGGCTTGACATCAAGAGGGTGAGGAGACGTTTGGAGTTAGGGGCGGCAGGGTGGAGGGCTTGGTCTAAGGATTGCGGGCTTCGAGATAAGGAGGAGGTGAGGGTGTGGCTTCGAGATTTGAATTCAAGGTTTACGGCTTGGTCAAGTGATTTGGGGTGTTGGGGTTCAGGGACTGCATGATTAAGTAGGCGCCTAAGGGATTGAGGTCTAGGATTTTGACTTTCGGGATTTGAGTTTTGGCTTGAAAGATTATGGGGTTGGGTTTGCGGTTTCGAGAGGTGTACTTTGATTGAGCACGTAACCTTGAACCGTAATTAGGCTGTGGGCAGGCAGCCAGCGGCGACGACCGGAACTTGGCACCGGAGGACTTGCTCAACTTACACTTGACCTGCCCTCCGGCTCTCCATGGTGTTTTGGGCTGAAGGTTCAGGGAGTTTTGGAATTAAGGATTTAGGTTTGAGTTTAAGGGGGTTTAGAGAATTTGTTTTTCCCCACCCTCGCAGTGGGGTTGTTAGATTTTTGAAAGTAGATGTCGTCCTCGCCCCACTGGAAGCTGACTTTAGTGACCGACCACCAAGTATCCCTGCAGTGCCCAACCACCAAGTATCCCTGCAGTGCCCAACCAATGAGTATCCCTGCAGTCCCCAACTGCAGAGTATCCCTGCAGTGCCCAACTGCAGAGTATCCCTGCAGTGTCCAACCACCAAATGTCCCTGCAGGGCCCAACCGAAAAATATCCCTGCAGTGCCCAACGCAGAGTATCCCTGGAGTGCCCAANNNTCAATATTCTTGCAGCGCATTTGCACTGCTGCAAGGAAGACAGTTGAGGGGGAGGGCAGGGAAACGTTACACCTCTTGTGCAACAACGGCTTTAGGGCGGGGATGCTCGAAGTAAATAATTGGGGTCAAGGGTCCGGTGTAGGATCTGGGAAAGGCCTCAGGGTCGAGATTTGGGGTTTAGGTTTTTGGGCTCAGAGTGTTTAAGCCTACATTTGCCAACGCCGGAAACCTGAGCAAAACCAGCGCAAGGCTGCTTTGGCTCCCGGACGCGCGGGCAACCCGTGTGGAGAGTGACTCTCAGAACTGCACCCGCACTACATGCACGTGTGCCTTCCGCCGATGCCCGCTTTCCTGGCCTCAGCTTGGGCGCAAAGACCGGTAACAACACCCTGCTGAACACTTTCGAGCCCTTGCCCTTCGCTCCTCTTCCAGCATCACTGTCCTCCGGAAAGCTGGCATGGCTCCCCGCAGCGGGCCGGGAAGCCCTTGCCCGGCGCTAACCCAGGCAGGCGCCCCCGTGCTCGACGCTGCACCAAGGGCCCTGCAAACTTCCCAGCTAGGGACTCCCGTCACGAAGTTGCGCAGCACTACGTAAACTTGAGTTCATAACCTGTGCAAGCTGCATTGCCAACCCCGGAAAGTTGAGCACAACCATCACAAGATGGCCTCTGGCTCCAGGACGCAAGCGGGCAACCCGTTCTTAATGGCTAGGCTTCTGTGCGCTCAATTCATGAACAATGCATCTGTTTATAAACTTCCATCTGCCACAAATTGTAGCCGAAGAAGAAGGAGTAGTAGCAGCCTTAGTAGGGGCAGCAGGAGGTAGTAAGAATAGTACGTAGTGGTCGTAGTAGTAGCAGATACCGGAGCAGAGAGAGGAGGAGGGCGAGATAGCAATTGTGCGCGCACAAGAATGCAAGTTGGGGACCCTCCCAAGAATGCGGCATGTTGCTGGATCCAGTGCATTCAGAAACTGTCACGGTTGGCATCTAGAATCTGGGCTTCTGAGGCTTGCTCTCAGAGTGTTTGCGTCTTGCCTGGACGTTTGGGTTTCAGATTAGATCTTTCAGGGTTTGACATTCAGTGTGTGCAGCGGGTTTCTTTTGATGTGCTTGGTACGGAGGGCATTCAGTCTAGGTTGGTTTGCCAATCCCAGCGGAGCCCCTAGCCTAGCCCCACCATACCGAACCCCAAGCCTTGCCCCTGCGAACCCCAAAACCAGCTGTGAAATCAAGGTCGCGAAGTGCTGGACCTGTGCAGGGAGCCTTCGTGTCTGCGGGCGGCCTCCGATCTTCTGGGCGCCTTGGCCTTCTTTGGGGATTTCCAGGTTGCGGCTTGTGTGACGCGATTTGTGATTTGGCAAGCGCTTTGGTGTCGAAGTCTGACTAAATTCTGGGATGATTCTAGACTGGACCGCAGGCCCTCAGCATAGACTTCAACCTTAAATGGACAGTACATATGCATTCAACCCCTGCATACCCCTGCTATAAGCCTTGGAGGCTGAAACTTATATCCTGTTACCACGGCTGGAAACACAGCATCAGGGACCTCTGACATCAGCATCTTCACTTCTCGGATTCTGTGCAAAGAGCCTGGGACCGGGAAGGAAATCGTCTGGCACCAGGAGTGGGAGTTGGAGTTCAGCACTTTTTCAGGATACACCGGCATTCCAACAGCCTTTTGGAACAAGCTTCATACTCCTCGTGCCATTTGAGTCAGTCGGTTGTTTCCAAAACAGTCATTGCCTTGGCGGCGTCTTAACTATCCCTAGTACGACTGCGAAATCTAATTCTTTGTGTTCTGTCAGGACTCCAACTACTGGCCGCTCACGCGGCCCTGCAACAAAAAGCCTCGATCTGAGCTTGGCTCAGGGGATGTGGATCCCTTGGTGGCGTCTCTTTGGCTAGCCGTGGCTGGGGAACAGAAATAGAATTGGTTTGGAGCTTCAGGGTCATTCCACCCCCTTCTAACCAGGTCGGGAAATTAGAAGTAAGTTATATTATATTCAGCATGTAATCATAGAATCACGCGCTGAAACTCCAAGCCTCAACCTTGCAGCCTTAAAAGCCTAAACCTGAAACTCGAAACCCTAGACCCTAGACTTGAAGCCCTGAAAATCAAACACCGAAACTTGAACCCTAGGCTCTGACCTTAAACTTTGAGTTTCAGCCTAAACCTTAAGCCCCCTGAGGTGGACGATGTCACTGCCGAGAATGGGGCCATGGAAGTTCTGCCCTTCACCGCGCAGCCCGAAAGCTGCGGAAATTGGGAAAACAATCAGAAAATCCTTTCCAAGGGGGGGGGGGGTGGTTCCATCAATCAGGGGTCCCTTTCTGGGTCATAGTATCTGGGGATCTACATCGGAGACATGTTTCAAGCGTTATATGACCTACTGTCAATGTTCGGGCTACAAAGTGACCATTATGGGTATATACGGGTTTAGGTTGTAGTTTAGGCTTTCGGGATCCGACTTTTTACAAAGTCTTTTCAGGGTTCAGTGTTTACACAGGGTTGCACATTTAGGGGTGCTTCCTCCATGTAAATGCAAGAATACCCCAGAAGCATTGGACAACATCGGCCAAGGTAAAAATGTGCCCAGAGAGTTTATCAAGGCAGGCTTGGGGCTGAGAGTTTTTTTTTGTTTTCCGGGCGTGAGGGTTAGTAGGGTTGCGGGTTGTGGGGTTTTCGGCAAAAAAAGGAAGACCTGATTGGGGTAGTACAACTCTCAAGATCATAGTCAAGCGTTTAGAGCTTAGATTTGCGCATTTTGCAGCGATGTCCACAGAAGTGAGCTAGGATGTTTGCAGCCCCTGCTCCATTGGGGCATATCATGGCATATCCTGATGGAAGGCGTCCCCATCCCTCTGATACTATCTTAAAGGTCGATGGTTTCTGGATGGTTTTCAAATTGCGGTGGCGTGCCAATCATGGTACAGGGCTTCGTATCTGGGGCATGGGCCACAGAGATGTTGCGCAACAGAAGCTATAGTGTAAGTAGGCTTGGCCTACGCACTAAAACCCGAAACTCCAACTGAACACCCGGGCTTTCACCTAGTCATCTGGCCAGCATCCACAGGCTCGTGCAATCCTGCAGAATCCCTCTATGGCGCTGATTGAATCCCGTAGAAGATGCGTTCTAGCATGGCACAATGGTCTCCCGAACGAACTAGTGCGTCGCTGAAAGCTGCCAATCGATGCTACGAGACCGGGAGCAATGGTATCTGCCAGGATTGACGGGTCAATGGTTGCCTTGGCCGCTGAGACACCGGTTTTAGACAGTGCTATCGACACTCATATTGGAGGGCTTTGCGAAGCAATGCTCGTTCCACATTTGTATCCCGCAGATCAGCGGGGGACTGGCGCAAACCGATTTCTGCTGCCGAGGCCTGTGATGGATACGCATTTGACAGACTGCTCGAAGTTATGCCAGCCGTTATGACTCCCTTTTCCATGCCTCTGGTCTGAGATTGAATCGCAACTTGCAACCTATTCTGGACTAGAGGGAGCCGACTCCAGCGAAAGGCTCGTGCAAGTGTTGTTGTCTCTGTCAAAAGAAGTGCAACTCAATAGCCACTTGGGCGTGCATTTGCTATTGCAGGCCTGCTGTTGGAATCTGGTGCCGACTTGGCCCTGCAGGTTCTGTGGAGCTTCCAGCTGAAACCTGTGAACCCACCTAGACCTGACGGCTTGGTGCTGACGGGTTCTCTGTTAAAATCCGGTGCAAATACAGAATTGTCATCATAGAAGCCCCGCTGAAGGCCACGCGCAGATTGTCCAGGTGCTGTTGGACACTGGTGCCAGCAAGGACGTGGATTACATCGTGGCAAGATACGACTGGAACTTACCAGAGGTGGTTTTGATAGCTATTCTCCTAGCACGTCCTCAGGCCCCTGCAGGTTCCACCACGTCCCGCGCGTGATGAGCATGAGGACAGGAGGGTGCTCCGGCCGCGGTGGCCGCACCCTGCAGAGGCTGGTGCTGGTGATGTTGACGTCAAGGTGCAGCTGGTGCAGGCTTTGGGCCCTGCAGGCAAGTTCTTGCTTTTTTACGTGGAACTCGCCAGCGCTTGATGAAGAATGGTGGGAACCTTTCATCGCATGGCTCCAGACACTTGAGTTCTTGGCCGGGTGGAGCGCCACCCTGGACATGTCCACCCATGCTGGCGTGGAGGGGCGCATTCGCCTGGTTAGGTGGATGCTACGGCCGTTGGCAAGGTGCAGCTGGTGGCTGTGCAGGTTTTCGCAGCGGGCGAGTTCCTGTCTACTCACATACAACAATGCAATGATGTTGGTGCTTCGGCAACGCGTGGTTGTACGCATCCCACAGCAAAACAGCTTTCATACTTGCAGCGGAAAGTGGTCGAGCAGAACCTGTCCAGTTGCTGCTGGAGGCCGGGTCTTGGCCCTCATGTCCTTGCAGCTAGCTATGGCCACTTTGAGAATGTGCGATTGGAATTCTCATATAGGGGATTCCGAAAACCTCGGGGTGCCCATAATAGGGATGACAGAATTTTGGGCTCCATATTGGGTCCCCCTATTTCTGGAAACTACCATATTTCCTTCGGAGCTGGGAGGGCTGTAGTCAGGTAATTGGAGCCTAGTAGTTAGAGATCTCGTCCCAAGAACAGAAGTTCCGATTGCGGAAGCTTCGCTACCCGTAGAGGCAATTTACCCTAAGGAGAGCAAAGCTGCAGTTGCGTAGTCTGCAGGCCTCCTAATTCTGTTGGAAAACGCCAAAAATGATAGCTGATAGCTTCCTGAAAGCTCACAGGATTGCAGAATGCTAGTTGGAGAGGGGCACATGTTGGTTACATACATGCCTAAAAGAAAAGGTGGCTCACACAACACGCGGAAGAAGGCTGTGCCAGTTTGGTCCAGTAAGAGTCCTGTCCTGCCCTGATTGTCACAAGGCCCCAGCACAAACAGTTGCCTTTCCGTGCTTATAGTAGCTTCCGAGTCTCTTGGCGGAGTAGTTTTGATGCAGGCGATTCGCTGTCGCGACTAGCAGCTGGCTCAGTTGCTGTTGGAAGTTGGCGCCGCGGTTTACCACGGCGATCCTCAGCGAGTTTCTCAAATCCTCAATAATACGTGCGATGCGCAGTGGGACTTTGCCATCTCTTGGACCTCCTTTTCAAGCAGCTTGTAATTGATGAACATCTTTGACACATCGCTGGCTTTGGTGACCAGTCTAACGTAGCCAGACATGTTTTTTTGTAAGTTTCATCTCTGTGGCTTAGCCCTTCGGGATGAAAAGCTCTTGGGCGAACACCACTTGTGCATCAGTGTGACAGCAAGCTCGCAGCCTACACGCATCCAGCTGCTCTACGAATGTTTTCTTGGGCGGCGAATCACTCTTATCAGATTTTGAAGAGTTATCCGATAATTGCTAATCAATAGGGTTAGTCTTTGTTACCGACACGCACCCCTCATTGCTTGAAATGTCATTGTGCCCGTGGTATTATTTGGTAGTGCTCTGGCCGCCACGGGAAGACCACAGGCCAAAAGAGACACCTTTCCATGCAGAGGAAGGTAACCAGCAAACCATGGCATCTTGGAGTTTTGCCAAAAGTGCTGATGTGAATATCGGGCTGGATCAATGTCACTGTGCCAATATGCCTTGTCTAGCATGAGAAAGTTTTCTTTATTCAGCGGGTGCAACAATACAGCGAAGAGGTCCACATCCTTTTGAAAATCATTGACAGGTTGTGAAGCCTAAGGTAAGTAGTACCTGAACTGCTATCGGAGACAGTAGCTATGTACTTTAGCCGGGATCGATTGAAGTCTGGCTAGCTCAGGAGATTATGCGTGTTGGACTTTTAGGGTTCACGGTGTTCATGAGAACGTGTTCAGGTTTATTGGGGATGTAGGCAGTGGCTGCCTTAGTGATTGTATTGGACCTTTCGGTATTCAGGTTATGGGTCTGATTACGAGACATGTCCAGGCAAACCTTGAGCCGCTGTGCAAGAAATATCAACGACTAACTTAATCGGCTTGGCTTTCTGATGTCTCATTGCTTCACACACCAGTAGTTTATTTGCATCGGACATTCAGGAATCCCACCACCCAACCCACCTCCCCAATCAAATTTCCTGGCATCCATTGCTTCGCCTGTAGAGCCCGTGATCTCCTCAGCCCTCACTTTCAGCCTACACTTGCAAACCCCCAAAGTTCTTTTTGAGAATGCGCCCCAAAACTATTCTCCCCAAACCACAAACACCCCTGCATCCTTGCACCCCAAACAAAAGACTCCTCATGCGCCGCCCTGGAAGGATGCCGGAGGAAGCACCACTGGCTTCGACAACTTCAACTTATCCTTGGACGAGGGTCGCCTCAACGCCCATCGGAAGCGAACAGTGGTCGCTGGGCTGGCCTGAGAGATTGCATCCGGAGTTCAATTTCCTTTTTGGGGCTAGGGCTTGTCAGGTTGGCGCCTTCCAGGGCTTCAGGGTTCGTAGCGCTTGACAACTGTTCTGGGTCATCTCAAACAGCTAGGACGATGGTCTGGAAAGGCCTTCGTGTAAGACATGATATGAGGACATCCGAAGAAGAAGCGCTTGTTTTCTTGGGCGGCTTCTGTTCAGGAACTTAGAACTTAGCACAACCAGTACAATTCCCTGTCTCATTCTAGCGGTGGCAGTGGGTGTATATGTCTACACGGCGCGCACCCATCCAAACCCAGAATCCCTAGACCACAACCCCATGCACCCCAATCCCCTGCCAGAGCTAGAGGAGTGCTTGACAAAAACATTTCATATTAACCCTGAACTTCAAACGCCACGCCCGACTCCAATCCCAGGCGATTCGCCGGGGTGAGGCAGAGTTTCACTCAGCCTTCACCATCCACCGCTCGGACACTTTTGCTGGTTTGAGCTTTTGTCTGTTCCGAAGCTTTATACCTTGATTTCCACTTGCAAGTTTCTGCGTAAGTGGGGTTATTGGCATGCAGAGGGACTCTCAGAAGATGCGTAGTTACAAGTGAGGTCGTAAGTAGGGGAGCGATGGCTGCAGCCTATGGCAGGGTAGCTACATCCCCGCTTCTGGCCGAGGAATGGATTCCTACACCCTAATGGAAGCGTGCTGAATCTAATCCAAAAAATCCAGCTTCAAGTAGCCGAAGCTTTGCCCCAGACCCTGGACGGCACTGATACCAGACACTTTATCCTCAATCTTCACCACTGGACACCATAAGCCCTGATGCTCAAAATCACCTGCATTTCTTTTTCTTCTTCAACAACAACAATGGAAGTCATTACTACTTCTCCTACTACGTGCTTCCCCGTTCCTCCTCTGATGTTAGCCTTCTGTCAAGGATCCCAACCACAGTAGCCGACGTCGCTTGGCCTGGATTGTGCGCTACTGCCCAACAGGCAGTAGGGGCATTGGCTGTACCTGGGTTGAAGGTCGAGGGTTTGCGGCTTCCAGGGTTGAGGGCGGAGTCAGAAATGAGTGTTTTTAGTTTTGAGGTTTCGAGATTTTGCGGGCGAGCTTTCTGAAAGGAGTCTATCAGGAGCTTCAACGCCCAAGGGGTTCGATGAACATTTGACATTTTCAACTTTGGCCTTAAGGCTTCAGGTTTGATTAGAGAAGCTAGGAAGCTAGGCTTTAGAGCTCTCAGCTTACGCTCACTACTCAGACTGAAACATGATGTGATCTCTTCAACATTCCTTACCCGAGCAATGGCGCAGGCACGCGCGTGGTGAGTGGGGTCCGGGGCTCTTTTGATGAGAGCTACCAGCTGGTCCCTGTGATGGGGCGGGGTACGGGTGCGGAGACGGATCCAGGCAAGCTGCGCAAGCTGCCGTGAGGTTGCGCTTCTTTGGGGGCCCCAGCCCCCTTTGAGTTATGCTTGTTGAGGCTTCTATTTTTTTCAGGAAGCCAGTACGGATGCAGGTTCTGGTGGGGTGTCAGTTGATGGTAGCATGTCCACGCATGTGGTTCGTTGAAGCTATGGGCCCATTAGGGTTGTTGGTGCACTTTGGGTTCGCCCAATGATAGTGATATGCGACGGCTGCATGCAAAGAGAAGCCCTTGAGGCTTGATGCAGAAGCCTGAGCAATCAGAAGTTTTGCTCCACGTTGCAGTGTGGTTGTACCGCAGTGTGGTTGTAGTTCAGGCGGGCTCCATTCCATACACGACAGCGAGCTTGCAAAGCACAAGCTGCCCCTGGGTTTGCGTTGGGATCGGTTCAGCTTTTTAGATTGATGATTGCAGCCAAGTAAATTCTTGATTCTCTCAACGCGCTTGGTGGCAACAGTGCTGTTGTGGCCAGCTGAGGTACGCACCTTGCTTCGGCAATGCTGTCCAGGAGCTCAAGAAGTGATCTTGACACAAACTGCAGTCCCATGTACTCAGAAGTCAGCTCTGGGAAGGAGTGTGTTGTTTATTCCCTAAATTGCAAGCGGTACAGAAGAGGACAGCATACCAGGGGCTCTCTTTCAAGTTCCATCCTTGGCGCCCCTGGCAGTTGCCCATATTCCTTGAGCGCCTACTCCGTACTTGGGGGAGCGGACCAAGCATGGTGAGCTCGCTTAAAATGAGGCGGTCCGATTCTGCTTGCGTGGTTTAGGACCAAGGGATTAGGACTGGAGGCCTTGTGCTTGTTTCCAGTCAGAGCTAGGGTTAAGGGTTTAGGGTGAAGGGTGTGGGGTTCGTTTTTTTTTTTTTTTTTTTGCGTAGAGATCTCCACGCTTAGTGCCAGCCTTTGAAATCCTGATCCCTGTCCTTCACGCAAAGAATGCTCCCACGTCCCTGAAGCCTCAATCATGCAGCTTCTTGACATCCCTCTACGAGCAGCTGCCAATTCAACCCTGAAAGCCACCCAAGTCCAAATCCCAAATTAGCCCGAAGCCTTAATGCAGAAACCCCTCAGCCCCAAATCCTAAACCTTGCACTTCATGTTGAAGCCTGAACAATTGGGAAGATGATCCCCCAAACCCTAGTCTAGTTTATTCTCGAGCCCCTACATGCAGACCTTTATAGTACAGCAAGCCCTTCACAGCCTTGGTTTCCATTTTATGTCTGATTGCTGATTTCATTCTCCATCATTCTACATGTCCTGGGCCCGAAGCCTGTACCTGCTCAGGCCAAGACAGATACGCTCGTGTGCTCGCTGCCTCACTGAGCGCTCTCGGCGAGTTGGTGAGCCTTGCAGATGTTACGCTTGAAGATTCCCATTGGTTTGTGGCGGGTGGTTTGGGCCTTGCGCTTTAGATCTTGGGTTTAGATGTGAGGGTGTAGCGTAAGGATTTCTTTAGAAATGTGTCTGATCCTTGTCATGAAGCCATAGGGACTTCCGCAAAGGGTGGCGCATCATGTTTCTGCCTTGGGGCCAAGTGATCCAAGGCAGTCCGGTTTCGGCATGAGGTCTGAGGATCAGTCTTATTTGGTTTGAATGGGAGGGCTACAGCACAGGGATCGGGCTAAAAATTGGATGGTTCCAGAATTCCCCGCCCCATCCAAATCACGGACATGAAAGGCCTGTTCGTCTTGGAAGGGTCGGCGGCTCCTCATGCTTGGAAACGCAGCAACTTGCTGTCAGACGTTTTTGGTCCGACTGATTTCGATCAGCTCCCACCAATGCGGCAGGTACACGTTTGCAGCACTCCTCTTGAATCAGGTCAAGGCTGAAATGGGGGGAGTTCTGGCTTTGGTGGGTTTGGGAAGTTGGGCTCAAGTTTAGGCCGTTGGTTTTGTGGGATTCCTGACGTGCGATGACGGTTTTTCGAGAACTGGGAAGTGAGTTCCGGTTTGGAGCTTGGGTGTGCCTGGGAGTTAAGATTGGGATAGATTGGGTACAGTCCGGCTCTCGGGCGTGTTGGGATGCCTTTTGCCACCACAGAAGCTTCCACAGCAAACACAGCACAGACGGAAGAGAAAAAAACACGGCTCCATCTAATGCTGCTGCAACTGTTTCTGGTGTCACGCACACGCATGCTGCGCATGGCCGCCGCCCAAAGCTGAAGGCTTGCTGCGGGGAGAAAGCTTGCGGCTGCTGATGCTCATGATGCTGTCTTAGACCAGCTCACAAGGATGCTGGTGATGCCAGCTGACCAGCGCCGAAATGCAAGAGTCTGGGCGGCTGACGCTCATGACGCTGGCCTGGCCGGCTCCCAAATGTGAGAGCCTGGGATGCTGATGCTCATGATGCTGGGCTGGCCGTCTCCCTAAGAAGCTTGGGCGGCTGATGCTCATGATGCTGGGCTGGCTGGCTCCCAAATGTGACAATCTGGGCGGCTGATGCTCATGATGCTGGCGATGGCTCCCAAATGTGAAGGCCGGGGCGGCTGATGCTCATGATGCTGGCCTGGCCGGCTCCCAAATGCGAAGCCCAAATGCGAAGGCCTGTGCGGCTGATGCTCATGATGCTGGCCTGGCCGGCTCCCAAATGCGAAGGCCTGTGCGGCTGATGCTCATGAAGCTGGCCTGGCCGGCTCCCAAATGCGAAGGCCTGTGCGGCTGATGCTCATGATGCTGGCCTGACCGGCCCCCAAATGACAAGGCCTGGGCAGCTGATAACGGCCTGTCTATCTAGCTCGATATTGAGCATCAAATGAGTATTCAGAAGAAAGAAGCTTGTAGAAGGTGTCGACCTAAGACTCTGCTTCCCAATGCCCGGCAACATTACAAGCGGAAACAGAGACCTTCAAATCCAAGCTTGCCATGAGCCAGGTGCTTCTCTTTCAGCCAGTCAGCTGCTGCCGTTCTTTGAGGCGCAGCATGCTGTGCCTTCGGTTTTACGGTCGAGGGTTAAATTGCCAAGTTCCGTCTGGAGGTTTCTTGGGTGTCTGGGGGCCAAGAAACGATCCAAGTGTTTTGGGGTCTTTAAGATTGTCGCCAAACGTTTGCAAGGTTTTGCAAGGCAAGTCAATCGAGGCATGTGGGTTATGGGCTTCGCAGTCCTACTTGAATTGCATGGGCGTGTTTCAATCAGAGGGTTCCCGGTCTTTGGAACACCTAGACTGTTAAGGGGCTGCAACAAGACCTACTGGGCAGCCCAGCCTAAACCCAGAACCCTAAACCTCAAAGCGCAAGCCTAAAACCTTGAACCCTTCTGCCTAACCAAAAAAGGGTGCGGAGGCGGCCCTTTCCTGTTGCTCCTTGAACGGGACGTCTTATCACAAGGTCTTGGTTGTCATCACTGCTGAGGTCAGGTCTAGGTCGAACTACGCTGATTTCTTCGATGGCACGGGGCTGCGCAACAGCCATCCACTGTGCTTCACAAGCACCACATCGATAGCGGCGAGGATCTGCTTCTTCAGGATGACCTGAGGTCCTTGTAGCTCTCAGGAGATGAGACTTACTAGGACAGGTTTTGCAACCAGCCGAAGTGAGGATGTTCGCGGCACGAGCAGAGACAACATTTGTGGACCCCCTGGCGGGCTCCAGACCGAATGTCAGCGGCTATTGAAACCGGAGTCTTTCTTGAAGCTCCCAAATGTTGGGCGCCCCCATTTGTCCGGCGCTGTAATAAAATCGTATTGCGAAAAGCGACCATAGCTGCCATAGCAGTAGCATAATTGCATACATACCGATGGCTCTATTCATGAACCTGCAATGCAATCCAGGCATGCAGCCCCACAAACGCAATGCCTCTTCAAAAGAAAGATATGCCCGAATAGTCGCTGGTTGTTGGCCATACTTGCAGTACAAACTACCCAAAACTCTTCTTCCAGTTTGTTGGGGCCCCGCACGTAAATCTCAAACCCGGATCTTCAAACCCAATTCCCAAAACCTTCCTGCAGAAACTTCAATCCCCAAACCCGATCCCTAAACGTCAACTAAGCCGCCAACAGAATCAGCCCTAATTCTCAAAACGCATACCTTAATTCTTAAACCCTCAGCCCTCATTCTTAACCCCAAAGCCTTCGTCTTAAACCCAAAGCTTTGAAACTCTATCCCCTGTGTGCTTCTGTGTGCTTGAACTTCTGTGAGGCCGGGAGCCCTTGCACAGTTTGGCCTCGTCTGGCCTCCAAACAGTCGGGGCACTTGGCTCCACTGGATTTGGAGTTTGGGCTCTTACGGTTTCTTAGTGTTGAGGTTTCAGGGTTTTGTTCTTCAGAACTCTGGCTACGGCCCTAAGCCCAAATCATCCGAAGTCCTCTGCAATCTTTTCAATCACATGCTAATGGAACCCAAACACTTGGTTGAGGGGGTCCAATCGACTCCGTCTGATGCTCAACACCAGTTGCCACGGTACTGCGTCTCACTATGCCTTCATTACTGCTTCCGGGGCTTGAAGTGAAAAGCTAATGAAGCAAGTCTGAAGTCTGCTTCAATCGCTACCTGGCCCCTTCATGAAGTGTTGAGGCGCGAATCGCCGCATCCTAAGCCCGAGAACCCAGCCCTGAAAACAAGCCTTCTCAGGGTGCGCTAGAGATACAAGGCGGAAAGTAAGCGCCTAGTAGTGTCACCACACTCCTTGCTAGCATCCCTTGACCCTGAGCGCCCAAGTCCTAAACCCTGAGTCCCCCAAAGCCTAGCGCACATCTACGCATCGAGCGCCCTTTGCCCTGAAATCCTGAAGCTTCAAACCCAAGCCTTTAAGCCTTTGAGCATCCTTGAGCTCATGTTTAATAGCTTCAAATCTCATCCTCATCCCTGGACCCCAAAAGTAGGCAACAGGCTGGCCCCCCAAAGGCATAAACCGAAGCAAGCGAAGATAATACTCTGCACGCTGTTGGAGAGCCCTTAAGCCAAGGCCTGCCCTCATCCGACGAGCCGCCGTCCAGGGACTCAGGGGGCGCAGGGACGCTGAACAGCGCGTAACATAAGATCCAGGGTTCAGGGTTTCTGGTCTATGGGTTT